CCTATAGGGGGGGGGGGGGGGGGGGGTTTGTTGCTTGCGGGCCTGAGGACACAACCTGCTTGCCAGATGTGCGTTAAATTTTGTTTGTTTGTGTTTTTGCCTGAAATTAACGTGTATTTTTATTTATTTTTTGTTTGTTTCTCCCCGCCATCCCCCATAAAATGCTTAAAAGACACGCACAAAACGAAGAAAAGAAGATTTAAAAAAAAAATTAAAAAAGTAAAATAAAAAATAGGTGTAAGAAAACGACACAAATACATTTTTATATAAAAGTTTATATATTTTTATTTGTTTATTGCCATATCTTTGTTGATGTTTTTTTTTTTTTTTGATTGTTTGGTCACATTGATGGCCGCATATCACAGTGGCGTTGTGTACACACAAACGCACACACAGAGAGAGAGACCATAATTTATATTTTATTTATGTGCAGGGATGAGTGTATGCCGTCATTTATTCCCCCCTTTTTTTTTCCCCCTGTCGATGCATCTTAAAAACAAATGCATTTTTTTTTTTTTATATTTTTTTTTTTTTTTTTTTTGAAGGGGTTTACCCCCTTTTCCCTCACAAACGGAGAGAAAAGGGAGAGAGAGGCGGGGTGCGTCTCTTGTCAAAAGCGTTTTATTTATTTATTTATTTATTTATTTTTTCTTTCCTTCTGTCTGTCTGTCTGTTTGTGTTTTTTTGCCCGCGGGACCGACAGTTCCTGCCGCCTCTCACTAGAGGGATTTGTTTTTGTGGACCGCTGCGTTTCTCTCCGGCTCCTCTTTTTCTTTTCTTTTCTGTTAATTATCCCCCCCCCCGCCGCCGCCGTCCACTTCTCCCCGTTGGTGGTGTACGGCGCCGCAAACGCGGATGGGCATTCAACCCCCCAACACCCACACACACGAAGAGGAGGTTGTGTGGACACGGCGGTCACAAAAAAAGGGGAAAAGGAAGAGCGCGGAATGCATCCCTCTTACTAGAGCCTGCGTCGCCCTGAAACATTTTCATCGTGGGCCAAATTTGCAGGTGTGACGTGGGGGAGAGAAATCTGCTGGAGAGGCGGGTGGAACGCATGCATGTGTGCGGTGCAGTACCCTTTTTTGTTTTACCGGAGGCGGGGGAGTAGAGGGAGAGGGAGCGGCTTGTGGATAGGATGAATTGTGTCAACCTCCCGACCGCCTGTGTGTGTTTTTGTGTCTCTCGCCATCATGCGATGTTCATTCATTTCCTACGGGATTTGCATCGCTTCTTTTTTTTTTTTTTTTTTTTTTTTTTCATGTGGACCATAATACATCACGGGGAAAATAGGAGTAAGTTGGTGTAACACAGTTTGTGTAAGGGTATATATATTATACAAATACAATACAATATATACATATTATTTTATTTTATTTTATTTTATTTGTATATACGCACGTTTTAATTTTAATTAAGTCTTATCGAAGCACCGTTGGTTTTCAAACGGAAGCGGGGAGGGAAAAGATTTGAGCTTTGAAGGGAAAGGAATACAGGTGTACCTTTCCCACATATTCATATACAATATATACATATAGATATATATATATATATATTGCTGTATGAGCACATTTCGAATGGCTCAAGCTCGCATCACTGGTAGGAAGTCCAATAAGGACAAAAGTTTCTCGTCCAAAGGTAAGATAGAGAAATATAATCAAGATGGCACTGAAACAATTATTGTGATGGGTCGGCCATTTCGTGTGCTACAAAACATTGGTGCCAGTGAGAATCATATCTCAAGTCATAAGGAACGAGATCACAAGTTTGCTAAGCATCTTCGTTCCTTTGTGTTCCTTGTAGAGAACACGGAGAATTTATCTGAATTTCCGCGTCATTTTGCTTTGAAACGGTCCTTCTTTAATGTCAACGAGGTGTTACTGGCGCATAGGGAACCGGAGGTGCTCGCACGTGTGAGTGACAAGAATATCGTGCGGGTGTTTCACACAGAGGTGACACGAAGTGATGGCAAACTGGGCGTTACAGTCGCAATGGAGTACTGCAGCAACAATTTATACCGCCAACTTCGTCCTGATACCCGAGTGCCGGAGGGGGAGATTGTGCAGGTGCTTTTGGGCATCACAAGCGCCGTGGGGTACCTGCACTCACGTCAACCACCTATTGCTCATCGTGATATTTGCCCGGAGAATATTTTGATTCATTCCGGCTCAACAGGGGCCGCATCCTACCGTCTATGCAACTTTAGTTCCGCAACGACGGAGGCGTACCACTGCGCCAACCGTGAAGAGGTGGCGATGGCGGTGGAAGACATTGAGCGCAACACGTCGCCGGGGTATCGTGCACCCGAGATGGCAGACCCGGGCAGCGGTAAACGCATTGATGAACGTGTGGATCTTTGGTCCATTGGTGTGTTGCTGTACTACATGATGTATCTTCGACTCCCCTTTGGGGAGACAAACATGGGTCTGACCGGACGGCTTAAACTACGATTTCCTGCGGGAACAGAAATGTGGTATACCGGATCTTTGCGTGTGGTCCTGGCGCACCTGCTTGAGCCGGATCCGGACAAGCGGTGGGACATATTTGCCCTGACAAATTTCTTGCGCTTTGACGATGAAATCGGCAAACACATTGGGACCTTCTTTTTTGCCCAGACAGAGTGGCCAGACGGGTGGGAACAGCAGGATGTCAAGGTGGTTAACCGCCAGGTACCTCGCAAGGCACCGCCCATACGTGTGAACACCCCGAAGCATGCGGACAACACCAAAAATGCTACAGATGCCGGCACGAAAAATCGAATGCAGGCCTCCTCAGAGATGGAAAGGGGATCCTCGATGGGCGGTGACGTGGGGGAGTTGGACGCGGCGGCACTCGCGGCATTAGGCCTGGATGGCGACAGCAAAGACCCTGAGATGCGGAAGTACTATAAAATGCTCATTCAGGAGCAAGAGGATGCCTGGAGAATGGCGAAGTCCGCCAGCCAAGCCTCTGCAAAAAATAAAAGTGGGGATACCACAAATGTAAACAATCGCCAAGCTCAAGAGACGAGGGAAGAGAAACAACGAGAAGAGGAGCCGCCAAAGCAGATACAGGATAATCCACCGAATGACAATACGCCTAATCTATTTGATGATTTATTTGCTCCGTCTCCGGCAGCTCAAGCTTCATCCGGTAGCCTCCAGGCCCCTTCTCAGCCAACCGTGTCACGGAATCCGGTAACGGGTGGACAAAATTGGCCGGACTCGCTTTTCAGCGGCGTGCCACCGTCACAACCGTTGTCGCAGCAACAGCCACCACTGCACGCACAAAATTCGTATGACATGATGATGGACAGCGGCTGGGGAACCGGGGCACCGACAATGGCACCGGTTGGTGGTGCGTATGATGTTGGAGCGATGTACGCTGGAACACAGATGGCTACGGCGCCAACGTTCTCCATGCCCCCACACCCACCCCTACAACAGATCACTCCCTCATGGGGAATTAGCGCACCTCCTGGGCCACAGTCAACACCTATGCAACAACAACAACAACAACAGCCTTTTAATCATCAGACCACAATGGACTTTGCACAAGGAAGCCTCCCAACAGCAGTCCCGGCTGAGCCGAAGCCGGAGGCAAAGAAAGATCCCTTTGCGGATCTCTTCTTGTAGAAGTGTTATACAGCAATGCGTGTGAAGAAGAAGAAAAACATTTTTATTTTTCTCTTTTTTTTTTTTTATTTGCGTGTGTGTGTGCGTTTTTCCTTTTGGCTTTGAATGATCAGGGATTCACCCACCCACCTCCAAACACACATGCACACAGTTATTCAACGAAAAGGGGAAGTATGAGCGATAGGTGGGGGGGGGGCTGATTGTGAAGAGAGGGAAAAGAAACAAATGCATATGAGGAGGCGGATTGAAAATGAAGAGAATGAAATGAAATGAAATGAATAAACCAGCCGATGAACTGGTCATGTGGTTGAACCACTTTTTTTTTTGCCAATATTTTTCAATATTAGCTCTGACTTCCTTTTTCTCCATGTCATTTCCCCATTTTTCCCCTTTTTTTTTTTTTTTGTTTGTTTGTTTTCTCTCGTCTCTCTTCCTCTATCTATCCTCTCTCTCTCGCGTAGGAACAAAAATGGGCGGGTGGAGGTGTGGAAAAACAGCATGTAAATTTATTGGCTGTTTGTGTGTGTGTGTGTGTGTTTTGTAGAATCTTGTGAGGGAAAAAAGTATGACCGGACGGAGGGGACAGCGATGGAGAGCGGTTTTTTCTTTTTTTTTTTGAAAGAGCACTTTTCTTTATCGATTGCAGTGTTTGTTTGTGTTCTTTTTTTTCCTTCCTTTTTGTGTGTGTTTCTGTAGGGGAGGAGGAGAGAATGTTTTTTTTTTTTTTTCTTTTGAGAGTGCAGTTTGTTCGTTTGTTTGTCTTTTCTCTTCCCTCCCGCCCTCCGTTCCACCCCGCCCTGCACGTGGAGGGAAGGGGGCCGCAATAAAGACGACTGGCACCTCGTGCGCTCACGGCGAGCCCGGTTGCCAGAGAACGTCGTTTAGACTCCGCATGTGTGCGTGTGTGCGGGGGAAAGGGAGGTGGGGGAATGTCGGGCGCACGGATGCCAAACTGCCACCACCACCTTTTCTTGTACCTTCCCTTCTAATAGGAATTTAAAATAATAATAATAAAACATAAAAAGGGGAAGGAGGAGAGGGTCTCATCCGGAAGCGTATTCCTTTTCACGCCCTTTTTTTTTTGTGTGTGTGTGTGCGTGTTTCCATATAAACTTATGCGTATGTATTTATTTGCTCCAAATGTGGTTATACCTTTTTGTTTGTTTGTTTGTTTATCCTTCATCCTTCACTATAAAAGCGGCACGACGGCTCTCCTACTAGCGGGAGAGGCGTGTGTGTTGTGCGGCGGCCGCGGCGTCAGTATTGGCTGTTTTAACTTTTTTTGCGGAGCCACTGCTGGAGCGGAAGCAGCAAAATAGAATAAGAAAAAGAACGGTGAAGCGGAAGAAGAAGAAGAATGTGTGAGTGTGTGTGTGAGTGTTCCATCACTGAGAAGGCGAGGACGCGGTGGTGCTGTTGTTGTTTTTTCTCTCCCCGAAACTCTTTTTTTTTCTTTCTTTTTTTTTTTGAAATTTATTTATTTATTTTTGCTTTCCGCAGCTCTGGGGAAGGAGAAAGGGGGCGGGGCGGAGGACGTACTTCCCTCCTCCCTGGATGTGTGTACATGTGTCTTCATGGGCGGTGGAGACCAATTCTTTTTTTTTTTTTTTTTTTTCCTCCTTCTTTCTCTTTGGTTCTCTCTGCAAGAGTTGAAGGGCGCGGCTGCAGCGAACACAATTTTTTTTTTTTTTTTCCCAACCATTACGAGGGAGGCGGAAAGGTACCTTGCAGCCCTTTTGTTGCTGCTGCTGTTGTTGTTGTTGTTGGTTTTGTGGATGGATCATCATCATCATCATCATTTTGACGTTAAGTTGCCAGAGGCAGTGGGCATTTTAGGGCCGAATGGGGAAGTGATTCCACTCGATGACCCGCGGGCAAAACGTTTTGAGCCGCCGATGGTGTGCAAATGTCCCCCACAGCAATACCCCCTGCCGGTGGCAGAAGTTGTGCCAACAGTTGATGTGGAACCGCCAGACACGGAAGTCACGGCAAACAACAAGAGAAACATATGAAGAAGGAGGAAAAGAAAAACTGTAGTTATTTTATATGATTTTACAGCATGCCTGCGATGCGGGGGGGAGGGGCGCCTGGTTTGTGGTGGGAATTGGTGGGGAGAAACGAGAAGATGACGGCAAATATTATCCGTTAGCCATAATTGCGTGGGTATCTCTCTTTTTCTTTATATTTATTTAGTTATTTATGTGCGTGTGTAATATATATTTAATGTGTCTCGTTTCGAAGTTTGTTTGATTGTTTGTTTTCTTTGATGTTGTTTTTGTTGTTCTTTTCTGCTTCTGCATGTATCTTTCTCTGCTGGCGCCCAACTTGTGGCGGGAGTTGTTTTGCTTGTGGCCTACTCCTCCGTTGCTTCGACGTGAGTGGAGGAGAAAGAAAAGAAAAGAAAAGAAAAAAAAGAAGTTGTGTCCACCGGACAACCACTCACTTTTTCTTTTTTTCTTTCTCCCTACACGCATATACATATAGTAGTGGTGGTGGTATTGGGTTAGGGTTAGGGAGGCAAGTAATACAGATGGTGCGGGTGAAGGCAAAGGCGCGGAAGGGCGATGATGCCTTTCAGACACGCAAGCAGAAGGTGGGGCGAAAAAAACTTGCACCTGCCACAGCGACACGTGCCGAGGTGCACGCACGAACGCTGCGGGTGACAACACCATCGGCCATTGCTCGCACGACCCTCGACGAGGCCCTCAGGGCAGGGGACGATCCGGAGAGGAAAGGACGCAAGCCGCAGAGTCGAGAGGAACTGCACCCGGTGGCAGTTTCGGCGGAAAAGATGCATCATGACTTCAAGGAGCAGCTTTCGAACACGCGGCATTATAAGAAGGCGTCTCGGGCTGCCGGCTTCATGTCACTCGTCAGGGCCATCAAAGGGAACTACGAGACGATGGGGACAATCGCCCAGACGCCAGGTGTTGGAATTGCTGAAAGAAGCGATGAGGCACTTTTAAATCCTATTGAAATTCTCTCTGCTTTTACAAGTGCGCTCGATGCAATGCTGGACACAGACAACGACGTTCGTCGTGCGGCCCTTGCTACGTTGAAAACGATCCTCCAGCCCTCGCCATCTTCACGTGACCGTGGGGTGCGGGACGACAAAGTATCGCCGATTGAGTCTACCGTCTCGGCAAGCGGTGGGGTGACGTTTGACATGGACCGGACCCGGGCGGTGTTGCGCATTGTTGATGTGACGTTGACGCATGCCATGACATCTGTGCGTCGTTCTGGCATTGAGTTGCTGCATATTATTTTGCGGGTTTCCCCTCATGATGTTCGTGCGGTATTGCGGGAGTCCGATACGTGGGTAAAGATGGTGAGTCGTGTTTCATCCGTCCTTCTGCAAGGCACGAGTGGCTCTGCTGCTGGTGCAAAGACGATGGGGATGACTCATTTGGTTCCAGATCTCCTTGAAACGATGTTGCTGCAGTGTGATGGTGTGAGGAATGCCGGAGGATTTCGTGGTGACTTCCAGCAGGCGGAGGAAGACGTTGGGGCAGGCGCCACACCGGAACGCATCCTCGAGCTCTTTGAGGAATGCACACCGAAATGGAGCATGGAGTGGAAGGAGTTGATGGAGATGCGGACTGCCATCTTCCGCGATACCGAGCGTGTGCAGCGTGCCACGGCGATTGCACGCGCCTTCGCATGCCTCACGATGTACCTGCGTGGGCGCTCATTGCTGAAGAAGTCGCACAAGCAACACATTCGTCACCTTTTTACCGTCAAAATGCCGTTTACTATACAAGAGTTGACTCCTTCAACGTCGGCGTCTGGTCATAGCAGTGACAACAGCAACTGCAACGCACGGATGGAGCTCGCGAATGCCATCGCTGACGCCTGTCTGCCAGTGGCGGATTCCGCGAGTGATGCGTCTCAATTGTTGCGAGAGTTCTTGTCCGCTGCTCTCCGTGCCGCAAATGGTTCGTCATCGTCCTCATCCTCGTTATTGGGACCTCAAGGCGGTGGTGAGGGCAGGATGGCCACACAATTGTTAGGTCCGCTACGAACACTGCGGACGGCATTTGTGCGATTTTCAACTAGCCTTCTTCCGCGGCTTTTGTTTCTTGTGCCGCCGATGATGCGGGCTGTCATGCGTGCTGCCTGTAGCGCCGATAGTGTCAAGTGGGGTGAGGCGTCGCTGCTGGCAGCTGACGTTCTTTCAGTGCTTCTCGCTTCGCAGGCCGCCGCGTCGTTGAAGACCGGCCTGCGATTTCTCTCGGATGCCGTGCTGATGGTGCCGCGGCTTCTCTTCTCCCTTCGTGGCAAGGCGGACAGTGCGACGCTGGACCGTGTCGCGTATGCCTTCTTGCAGCCGCTGTGGAGGGTAGCGAGCGGCGGGCATCCGCTGCTGCAATGCTCCGCCACATCCACCGACGACGTGGCAACGCAACTTCGTTTGTCGTTGCCGTCACTCTTTGAGCTCCGTGTGCCGGACGATGAGGCACCCGGCGCGTATGTGACGGTGGACGGTGTGTTGTCCCGCTGCACGGAGCGCACGAGGGAGTTGGGGGCGCATCTGCTCTTCTACCTGTGCGGCGAGGCGCCGTGCACGGGGGCGGCACCGCCTGCACACACGACTCTCGCCAGCACACTCCCTCAACGTTAAGGAAAAGAAAGTAAAGAAAAGTAAAGACCGAGCGGCAGGGAAAATGCCTGCAAACATATATTTATTGTCCCTTCTTTTATTTGGAGTAACAATGAATACTGCCACCACTTTTAGTTTCTATTCTTTTGTATGCTACTTTCCTTTTATCCCCCCTCTTTTTGATTGTTGTTGTTTTTGATTTTGTTGTTGGTTCTTTTGTGTATCTTTACACATATCCACCCAAACCGCATAAGCGCCAGAGAGCAGAAGGGAGGGAAAGAAAAAAAAAAAAAAATGGATGCAAATACCACCGAGAAGGTGGAAAAGAAGAGGCAGGAATTCCTTTCAAAGGATGCCATTGAGGAGATGCGCAATTTTTCAGATCAGACGGGTTCTCGTGTGCGCCATGGGCTTCTTCCTCGCGATTATCACCAGACAGTCGATAAGGCGCACGAGGAGAAGATGCATGCGTACATCTCACCACGACGAACATGGCGACAAAATGTGTACGTTTTGCGCAACTTTGAGTACTGGAGACTCCGAGCGGAATATTACCCGTATATTGAGCGTAGCGATAAGTACAGCGACAACTTTTTTATCCGCGGGATATCGTGCCATCCAAGGCTTAGCGACTACCCAGGATGTCGGACCGTGATTCAAGACTACTTTATTTGCCGTGACAAAAATAAGGTGATGCAGTTATTTAATATGTGTGCACCACTGAAGGAGCAGTTTTGTGCCTGTATTAATGAAGTATTTATCAAGAATCATGAACGTGGTGACAAGAAGTTCAATGCAAACCGAAAGGAATACTTTGAGAACCAGCGGGAAAGGCGTTTCTCCAAGATGCTTTTGCAAGCTGAGGAGTCCGCAGATCAACGAAAAAAACTACAGGACTAAACAGCTTCATACACGTTTGTTCTGTTTGTTTGTTCTGTTTGTTCTGTTTGTCACCTTCCTTCCGTAGTTGGGATATGTGAGGGTTAGCAATGAGTTTGCATTTTTGGTTGTGTGCATGTATGCAGGTATTTGTGTGTGTGTGTGTGTGTGTGTGTGTGGATGTGGATGTCTTTATCGGGGACGTCTTTACTTGTATTCTTGTGATTTGTCATGCCGCTTTGCCTTCTCTTTCTTTCTTTTTTTTTTTTTTCCTGTTTTGTTTTTATTCCTCTTTGTGGTTTAGCGGTCAGGAGAACGCACGTGAAGTTCAACCCAAGGGCACATTGAACGCCTCTCTCAGTGTGTAGGGCAGCGAGGGAAAGGGGGAAGAAGAAGAAGAAGAAGAAGAGAGACACAGCAATAGCAACCCAAGCAAAAAAGAGAAGGGAGGGGGGCAGAGAAAAGAGAGGCGAAAGGGAAGTTGAAGAGGAACTGGATTGTGTAATACACATTGCATTAAGATGTCTACTGCCCCAACATTTGTTCGTGTGGGGGAACTCGCCTGCCAACGGAACCCCTTTCTTCGCGGGCTTCGCGCCCGTGTCGTATTGTGTGAACCCGTTTCTATAAATAAACCTGCCGGTGGCAGCGGCAAAGGCGGTCATAATTCAACCAACACGAATCCGAGTTATAACGTTGTTCTCACAGACTCTGTCCTCTTCCCGGAGGGAGGTGGTCAACCCTGCGATCACGGTACGATCGTGTATGGGAATGAGGAGGTTCCCGTTCGAAATGTGCAGCGTCGCGGTGACACGTGTGTGATCTCGACACCGTGCCCACTGGAGGTGGGAGAGGAGGTGGAGGTACGCGTGGACTGGCCACGACGTTTCGATCACATGCAGCATCACTCCGCGCAGCACCTGCTCTCTGCTGTTGTGGAAAAGGCGCCCCAGTGTCGTTTGCCCACCGTCTCATGGTCCCTCACTCATCCGTATAGTTTTATTGTTCTCCCGACAGGAAATAAAATTGACTCGGATGTGGTGGCCCACCTTGAAAAGGTTTGCAACGACGCCATCGCACGCGCCGTCCCTGTGCGTTGTGACATGTATCCGAGCAAGGAAGCATATGAGCAGGCGCTAAGGGAGAAGGTGGAAAAGGAAGATTCTGGGGAAATTTTTCGGCAGTCGCGCAGCATTCCATCCGATGTCACTGGACCCATCCGCATCATCACGGTGGAGGATGGCATTGACCAGTGCACATGTTGTGGCACACATGTCAGCAACTTGACGCAACTTCAGATGATAAAATTGCTTCACCAGGAGACCAAAGGTGACACGCTAAAACTTTTTTTTGTCACGGGTGATCGATTGTGTCGATACTACGGTGACATGTACTTTCGTGAGAAGGAGCTAATGAAGGAGTTAGGTGGGGTGCGACCCGAAGAGTTTGTAGCTGCAGCAGTGAAAAGGGGGAAAGAATATGCCGACATGGAGAAGCGACTCAAAAACTTGACGCTGGAGCTTATGAAAGCGGAAAGTGAAAAACTTATTGCTGAAGCGAAGGCATCCTTGGCGGAAGGTGCTGGTGGTGGCATTGTTGTGTACCGTCGTGATGATGTTGGGGGAGATTTCTTTAATGCTCTACGTGATGCAATACGTCAGGCGTGTCCGGAGTGTTTGGCTGTATTGGCTTGGGGCAGTCCTGTAGCGACGACTACGGCAGGTGGTGCTTTGGGGCGAGCGAAGACTGGCCAGTTCATGGTCATTGGCCCAACCGATCGAGTGGAGTCGTTGGCCCCGTCTGTCTGCATGGCGCTAGAAGGGAAGGGCGGGATGTCAAAATACGGCTATCGTGGCAAAGGCAACCTTGCTGGTTGGGACAAACTTGTTCAAAAACTACTTTTGTCATGAAGCATTGGTGATATACATATATATATATGTATTCCATACATTTATTTATTTTACCCTCTTCTTTTTCTCTTTATGCCTTAACAATTATTATTATTATTATTTTTTTTTTTTTTTTTGCGGTTTGATGTCTCTCTCTCTCTCTCTCTCTCTCTCTGGTGTGATCATTTTGGAAAGACATCATTGTCCGCATGCAATGTGTCTCGTGGAATTCTCTCGTTGTCTCCTCCTTTTGCCTTCGTGTGTGTGTGTTTGTTGGTCGATGGTTTGCCAGAGTGGAAAAAAAGTTAGCGCCCTTTTTGTTGTTGTTGTTGTTTTGTTTTGTTTTGTTTGCTTCAATCATTGCTATTATTTTGGTGTGTGAGGAGGAAAAAGTTTGGGAGGCCTGCACTTTGCCCCCTCCCGACACACAAAAAAAAAAAGAAAAAGAAAAAAAGAACAGACGCACACGTATGATGAAGAGCATTGGCATGAGTGTGGCAAGCGCTACTCCCGAGCAACTTTCACTGTCGCGGATTCCGCTAGACGTATTGCGGCTTGTCCTCTCCTTTCTTCCCGCTCCCGTCACACTGAATACGGTTGCGGTGGTCTCGTCCCTGTTTTCTGCGGTGACACGCAGTGGAACATACTGGCAAAATGTGTGGATTGAACGAGTCAGCGCATTTTTTCGCAGCTACGCTCAAGTTGCGAATTTACTCTCTTCTAGTAATGGATTCTCCTATGCCTCCTCCTCCCACGAGCTGCTCGGGGATCATAAGATTCTGCTTGCGTCCGTCCCAAGTTTGGCGTTGCCACGTCTCTGTATTCACGGATATAGTGGTGATTTGTCCGTCACGGAGGAACATGACGACAAGGAAAGTCGTATAACACAAATGCGGCTGCGAGTTGGGTCCATGGTTTTGCTTTCTGCGCTCTCCGTTGACGCCTCTACTTTGGCGCAACATCTTATCTCGTCATCCTCACGGGAGGAGCGATGCAATCATCACCATTATCATAATCATCGTCACGATGGGGACGAGGGGAGGAATGAGTTGGGTGCAACAAATGAATTGCGGCGTAAAAATTGCGTCAAGGATCATCTTCGGCTGCGAAAGGCTCTTTACTTTCTTGATGACGAGAAGGCGTTGGATTTGGCTACGAAGAGGCGCCCCATGATTGATAGTCTTTATGCGATACGCCTCTTTATGCTCCACCTTGCATTGCCGCCCCCGCATCGCCGCGAGGGAACGCCGTTGGAGCGAGAGGCAGTGCTTGCAGAGTTTATTAGTGCCTTGGTGTATGCGTGGGAGTGCTGCCATCCGTCGATGCGTCCGGATATGTCAACAATGAGGCGCCTGCTTCCGCAAATGGAACTGATGTCAACGACCCTCTTCGTTGGAGGCAGTGAAGAGGAGGAGGCAGTAGAAACAGGGGATGGCTACACGGATGTGTTTTTCCCCGTGGCAGATCCGTTATCTTCATTGCCTTTTCCCGCCCCTTTTCAGTCTTTGCCCCTATCGGTCTCATCGAACGGTGTGTTAATTGCCGGCTCTGACGCAGGCACCGCGTGCCGCTTGCGTCACTCCCTCGCCGACACGCTGGTTTACTTGTTTCTTCTGCACCATGTTACCTTTTCAGACATTCATCAGCACGTATGGGATGACGAGCGGAAGTGTGCCATCTGCAGTCGTTTGTTAAGTCCCACAGGACATGCGGTGGAATTTCGCTTTTTCATGTCCTCTCTTCGGGGCAGTTACCCGCGTTTCTTCGTGAAGATGGCGTTTGCTGAAGGTGAGTTGCCACACACATGTATAAGGGAAACATTTGACAATGAGAGCAGCCGCAATGCAACCTCTCTGTTGGGGTCTTCATCCTCGGACGATGTGGTCCCAAAAATCTTAACGCTCTTTTATGGAGGCTTTGGCCGGGTGGAAGTAGACATCCCGCCGACGGTGTCGCGTGATGGCTTCTTGCGTCTGCGTGAATCACTTGGTCTTGCGCCCACATTCCCAATGCAGCTTCTTTGGAACGTTGTGGTGCTTGCAACGGGGGTTGGTGGGGCGCTATTACGGGCGCAGGGGCCGTACTTCAAGCTGTACTATCAGACTTCTTTCACCGCGGCATTTGAGAAGACATTTCCCAACACCACCAGCACCGCCAAAACCGCTGGATGTGAATCCACACAAGCCGTGAGGGAAGCGGTTTAATGTTTTTTTCTTTGCGCCCATGCAGGGAGCGGTTGAAGAGAGAGGGAAAGGGAGAAAGAAAGCGAAGAGAAACGCAAAAGGGGGGTGAAAAAGAAGGCGTGCAAAGCAAAAGAAAAGCAGGGGGACGATGTGGGGGGGGGAAATGGGGATGGAAAAGTTCGAGCTTTTGGGTGTGGGAAAAAAAAAAAAAGGACTGAACACCACTCTGCGAGCGGAGATAAATTGCCGTCAAGGGGGGAGTCGTTTTTTTACGCACCATCTCTCCTTCTGCCTGGTGCCTTTTATTTTATTTTTTTTTTTTTCTTCCCGTTTTTTTTTTTTTTTTTTTGGTTGTTGTCCCGCGTGGATGCCGTGCGTTGAGTGTCCGAAGCAAAAAGAACGAAGAAATATTAGCGTCATTCGTTATTCACAGTGAAGCGAGCGGTAAGAGCATCCGATGCGAAGATGCATCTGCTGTGACGCCGTCATAACTGAGCTGCTGAGTCGTGCGTCGCTCCGCTGGCAGCGTCGGCGACGCGGCGCCAGTGAAAACGAGGCGAAGAAACAACTCTTCAGGGATGTTCTCACAATGTCACTTCTTCGCATTGCGGCTGCAACAAGAGGCGGTGGGGCTCCCGTGCAGGCAGTACGTGACGCTCCTCCTCGCAGAGAGTGGCAGGCCAATGATCGGCACTCTTCTGTGAGCGACAAGGCACAGAGCTCCTCAGGTGCATTGGCAGAAGGAACGCCGCGTTTTCTGAGGGCGCTGCTCCTGAAGAGCAGGAAAGAGAATGCCATAGTACACGATGCGAAGCGAGTCCCTCACGCCCAAACCGCGGCGAAATTATTGACGGATGCGGAGGATGGTCTTCGTGCTTCAGAAACATTGTCCTCCACAGCAACGGAGGGAGCATATGTGGTAGGTGCCGTTGCGACTTGGTATGCCGCGTTTCAGCTCTTTAGTGAAGCCGTGGAGCGGCATACGGCTGTTCCATCCATTGAGCATATTAACGTTCTGTTGGGCATCACTGTTCGTGAGAGACGTTGGCAACAGATGCAGCAGCTGGAGACGTTTCTTGAGAAGATTCTCGCTTCTGAGTGTGGTATGTGTTTGAGCGAGACGCCGTGTAAACCGGACTCCATTCTTGATGTCAGTGGCTCTCAACAAACGGCCTTTCCACTACAGCCTAATTCTGAGACGTACGAATGGCTGATGGCCGCCGCGGTCTCTCGGGGGGACTGGGTAGAGGCACTGAGGTGTTTTGACGACGTGCGAGATGAATACTTACCTGTCTCCGATAGTTTGTTGAAACTAGCGCTGGAGGCTTATCGTATTGGAGGCGTCCATTCTCTCATCGACCCCGGCGGCAATGGTCACAACAAGAAGACGGCACTTGCACCGCTGCGGACGGATTATCGGGGGCCATTTCTTCATTGTGCAGCATCCGCACGGCCCGCTTCCACCTCTCACGGAGTACGAACGAAACCCGCGGCGGCTAGATATCTATGGGAAGCGGCGCTGATGCTCTTTTCCTCCTTTCTGCATCGTGTGCAGGAGAGCGATACAGTGGCACTATTCATGTCAATGATGGCAGATGCGGGAAAGCATCAGGTATTGCTGGACATGTACCGTGACCGCAGTCGCACGGTGAATTTTGGTGAAGAAATTTTGCCTCTTGTCAGCAATGCGTCCCGTGAAGTTGGCGACTGGGCCTTGAATTTGTGTCTGCTTCAGCACATTTTGGCATCCCCCGCCGACACGGAGCGGGCGGCTGTGGGAAGGCAGCTCTTGGTGGATGCCCTCCTCGTACTTCGGAGGACGCAGCACTACCAGAAGATTATTGGGTTGCATGTGCAGGTCCCATCCAGCATGTGGACCCCACGTGCCCGGGTGATGGTGGCGCAGGCCGCCATGGTGCAGCGAGACCTCCCTCTGCTACTTCGGCTATTTGAAGAGGAGGAAACAATGGGAGTAGAAACGAACAGGGATGACGATGGTGGCAGACGCACGTCACACATTATGGATACGGGACTCTGTTATCCTTTTGGGATTGCCGCCGTCTCACCCGTATATCCCTCGTTCCCAGTAGAGATGTACGATATCGCTTTGCGTACCATTCAATTGGAACTCATTCACCGTCGATTTCACCCCACGCCATTGAGGGAATCTGCTGTGTCACGTCTAAATGTTCCTCAAGACCTGGCAGCGCTTTCCATTGTTATTTATGAGAGGTTTCTCCGGGACTCAAAGCACCGAATTTCCACAAATGAAAGTTTTCCTTTCGACGCGTCTCTCTCCGTTTATGCGCCCTTTGTGAAGCTCCTTCAAACATCTGCTAATGAGGGTGCGGGTGTTGGTAGATGCACGAATGGTTCACCGGAAGGAATATGGGAGAAGGCCCTTTCCCATTTGGCGCTTGTTCGGAGGCCTGATACTATCGTCGTGAGCCTCGTCACTCACTTGTTGCAAAGAGAAAATCAGTGGGAAGCTGCATTTAATCTCTTATCACATGTTATTGGAAGTGAAGAAGTGTCACGGGAGGCAGATGGTCCCAGTCGTCGTCGTCGTCGTCGTCATTCCCGTCTTTCTTCTCCAAATGGCGTTAAGGTGGATGAGGCGAACCACTCCGATCGTTACACCTGCACGGCCATTACGGCAGTGGCAATTCGTTACGCCGTTTGGAGTGCAGCCCGTCAACCTTCCGCTGCCGTGCACTTAACCCAACGTGCACTTGCCAAGGGCTGGATTGACGGCAGTATGGCAATGCAGCTTCTCGAGGGTGTCGAAGGTAGTCTGGGCAAAGAGGAGCAGCTTCAGGATCACTGGCAGGGCGACGATGGAAATCCGTCATATGCCTCCAACGATGCCGTCCACGCTCTTCTCAAGCTGGTTGCTATGCATGACAAAAGAGAAGGTGGATTAGGATCGTTTGGGTCGCTCTTTTTAAAAACACTGCAGCTTCTGCAACAGCTGCAAACGCGGGTTGAGCCGCCCACTTTGCTGCTCTGTGACTTAACGGGAAATCTAGAGGAAGTTGTTTCTGGGCTTGCGAAGGAGGGAAACGATGAGCTTCGCGCCAAGGCAGAACTTGTCGTGCCAGTGGTACTGCATGCTGTTTGGCATCAAATAAGCATGTCGCATATGAGCCGGTGGACTCTTTGGCAGGAGTGTTTACGCTGCCTGCGCTGGTTTTGCAGCCCGCTTTCGCAGCATTCATCATTTGTGCTGCAGGCAAATTAATCCACACTAAGAGTTCTCAGGGCCTTCATACGGCGTTGTGATCGACCCGAAGAGGGTTTTGTGGAGAGTGTTGCTGTGAGCTGGTTGTTGGTCGAGGCCTCACCTTCTGCTCTCGAGAAGCTCCTCTCATCGCTGGATTTGTTGCCCGATCTCGTGGACCGTGCAGTGTGGCTGTCGCACGAACTTCTTTTGGATGCCCTTGTATGGTCTGGCCGACATCGTGTGAAGGGTTTGCTGCGGCGTCTTGTACGTATCCTCTTGCCCCTGTTTTTGAAAATCCTCCAGCGTGGGGTGAACAGCACCGCAAGAAAAACAACGGAGCCGCGCCATTGCCTGCGTTCCGAGACGCTGACGGCGCTGACGGTTGCTGTTCAGTGCCTCACCAGCGGACCCCACGAAGAGGTTCTACACGACTGGTCGTTGGTGCATCAGTTGTTCTCACTGCTGCTGCAAGCCAATGAATTTATCACTGCCACTGACACAGCACAAACGACAACACCTGGAAGAATAACTGTCCTTGCGGAGAGTTTGGCAGCCGTATTAGACAAACTGCGTCGCACATTTCATTTTCTCACCATGAAGATCTCTCTTGATGCACACCGACGCCGTAGTCAAGGGAGTGAAGGAATATCTTTTTGCCGTGACGATGAGGCGAAGCATCTGACGAGTGTATTGGAAAGTGGTGCAATCGAGTACATGGATCTTTGCGAGGCGTTTGCGCAGCGTTTTTTTACAGAAGCGGGTGTTGATTGGATGGCACTTGGTGCGGAAATGGCGGCGTGTCTTGAGAAGGTCATGAACTGTGTTTGGGATGTCAACTACACTTTGTACGTTTGGTACACAACCTTTAGCCCTTTTCAATCCGGTAGCAGTGTGTTGAAACCGCTGCAAAAGCGTTACCGCTGGCTTATGTGCTCGTGTGTTTTGTTTCTGCCTGCGTCATGCATAACCCCCTTGCGAGTCGGGCGTTGGTTGGTTGTGATGAGCGGTGATGGAGAGTCAGCAGCCACACTGACGCAATCTGAAACAAAAGGAACAGAAACAGAGAAGAATATGATTGCTGCGTTATTGCATGACATCACGACACTGGAGGCGTGGCAAAGATGTCAGTTGACTACAATTTCACACGGTGGGGAAGGGTCATGCCACCAATCGCGGCAGTTGATTGTGCCTCTTGTTCTAGAGGCCATCCACAGCATCACCATTGGGGTATCGGGACATGTCCCTTCTTCCTTCTCCCAACCCACGACGAAATTGGCTGCCGCGGCCGTACGCGAGGCGCTTCCTCCGCTTAAAAATGGTTGCTCTGCACGAACACCTTTTGATGATCACATAGCTCTTGTTTCGCCGTGGCAATTGCGAACAATGCAAAAGGCTGGGTGTACACTCATTTATATGCTGCTCTGTGAAGGGCAAGCGGAGCTGCCGCAGATGGCACAGAAAGCCATGTCTTGGTCCTGTTGTTCACATGCGCTTTTGGAACTCATTGTGAGCGCAGCTCAGTCCACATCGGCCGAAACATTCAAAGCACTGTGGACTTCGGTTGCCCTTGTGGATGTATTTGGTCTGTTGAAACCACAGAATTGCTTCTGGGCCTTATTTGGGAGGCCGCAAACTGCAGGAGGAAGTCAAGCGTCAAGGGTGTTGAGCCTCCTTACAGCTTCCCCCGCTGTTCGTGCAGCCACTCGAATGGATGAGGATATTTGTACCGCTGCATTGCTAGCTTTAGATCCGGTAGACGTCATGGGGGACGCTGAACATGTGGTTGCCGTGAGACACA